TTCGTGAATGGGGTGGCAAGGAACGGTGACACCTCGCTGTGCTCTTGTCCTCCGCTCATGCATTTGCTTCATGCTGCATCAGACTTCACATACAAAAACCAAGTCCAAAAGTAAAATTGTTAAGAGTTTCAAAATGGCAACAGTGGAGTGTGTGTGTGTGTGTGTGTTGGGGGGGTCGTTCTGAACGTGGGACCCTGTATGCTTGCACATGTAACATGCAAATGAAGCCTGCTCGCCGTGGTGACTGAGCAGGGTTCAAATCATAATTTATTTAACCAGTCCTATAATGATGGGCACTTAACTTTTATTTTCCTCGTCCTTGGTTATTAGAATAACCGATATAAACCGAAATAAACCGATAACTGTGTTTATATAGATTGTCTAAAAATTTGAAAGTAGGGAAAAAAATTGTTGTACTTTTTTCATTTTATTTAAGGTGCTCAGATCTAATCGGAAGTATGTTCTCTGGTTGAGAGTCAAGCCTTCTTCCTCATGAACCACTTCATGATGAGAATGAAATAAACAGCCCCATGTCTCCAGACTTTTCAGAGACTATGTCAGTAAATTAAGTTCTCGAGCATAAAACAGTGCCTGTTATATAGTAGGTACTCAATAACTATCTGGGGAATAAATGAATATGTGTCCAGAGATAGGATTGCCGAATTAAAGGGTATTTGCATTAATAATTTTGATGGCTATTGCCTAATTGCCCTCTGTAAATTTTGGAACAACTTTTATTTTCTCCAGTGATGTATGAAAATAGCTATTTTCTCCTCCACTGCCGACACAAATTATTAGCAAATGTTTATCTTCATGACCAGCTAGATGAACACAGTGGAGCCTTAAATGCATGTTTTTTAAAAAAATTGAACATCTTTAGTTTAAGAGCTTTTATTTACTATTTTCTGCTTTATGACATTTCTGTCAAATTCTTTGTCGATTTTTCTAAAGAGATGTTGTTCTAAAAAATATTATCATTGTGAAATGTAACATTCACACAGAAGAATATATAAAACTTTCTTGGTGCATTCTGACAAATAGTTATAGAGCAAATACTTGTGTACCCATTACCTGATCAAAAAGTAGAACATTGTCAGCCCCTGAGAACAACCCCCACTCCCAATTAAACAAAACTCCTTCTGCCCCCTACTGGCTCTCCTGACTTTTATTGTGCTCACTTCCTTTACGTTAGAATTTTACCACCTGCGTATGCATTCCTCAATAACACGGTTTAGTTTTGCCTGCTTCTGAACTTTATATAAATGGAATCAGACTATATATATATATATATTTGTATTTTTACGTGTATTCAATATTACCTTTGTAAGAATTTATTCGTGTTGTTGAATATAACCATTGCTTATCAGTTTTCATTGTACAAAAATAACCACATTTTAACAATTTTATGCTTGGTAGACATTTGGAATGTTTCTAGTCTGGGGCACTGAGGAGTAATGCTGCTATGAATAGCCTTGTACAGCAATTCTAACCCTTAAAATTCTGCATTTCCTTATAACATATATCTAGTAGAGGGATTGCTGGAATAGAGTATGCATATCTTAAATTTTCTTAGATTTTATCAGTCTTCCAAAGTGGCGTGCTAGTTTACATTCTCACTAGCAGTGTACCAGGATTGTTGGTCTTTACTGATTGGTAGAATTATGGAAATTAGCCCTTTTGTAATATGAGTAGCTAAAATATTTTTCTGAAGTTAAAATCTGCTTAAAGAGGCACTGATGTTTTTTCCCACTAGAGGAACAAAAATATAGCTGTTGGAAGTGGAGTCTTCTAATTTTGAGGCATTAAAGGAAAAACAAGTGTTCTGGGTTAACCCCTTTTGCTTTTCATTTGCTATTATATATGTCATTAATACAATAATCATACCACCAGTTTTCACGGAATAACCTGGATTACATGATGCCAAATATAATAATAATAATAACAATAATAATAATAATAGTAGTAGTAGTTAAAAATTGAGTGTTTAGGGGTGCCTGGGTCTCGGTGGGTTAAGCCTCTGCCTTCAGCTTAGGTCATGATCTCAGGGTCCTGGGATCGAGCCCCGCATCGGGCTCTCTGCTCAGCATGGAGCCTGCTTCCCCCCTCTCTCTCTGTCTGTCTCTCTGCCTACTTGTGATCTCTCTCTCTGTCAAATAAATAAATAAAATCTTTTTAAAAAATTGAGTGTTTAGCCAAGTCAGGTATTATTTTACATCCATTATATGTATTGACTAATTTAAATCCCTAGGAAATAAGTACTATTTTTCCCCCATTTTGCAGATACATGAAATAAGGAGCTGAATTGAAGATGTTTTCTAGGGCTGGTTTAAACAAAATCAATTCAGAGAAAACATTTTTTTCATAGCAGATACAGTTTTTTTTTCAGATTAAAAAAAAGATTTTATTTATTTATTTATTTATTTATTTATTTATTTTAGAGTGAGAGAGAAAGAGAGTGTGCGAGTGCATGAGAAGGGTCGGGGGTGGGAGTGGGGCATCAGGAAGGACCTCAAGCAGACACCTTGCTGAGCGTGGAACCTGATGTGGCTGGATCCTGAGTTCATGACCTCATATGAAGGGAAACGTTTCATCGACTGGGCCACCCAGGTGCCCTAGGGTATAGTTTTTTAAACCTGTGATCCACAGATTAGGAAATTCATGAACTTAGATCAGGAAAAGTAATGTGCCTTTATTTGTGCTAAGGTGTAATGAAAATTAGCATTATCATCAGTTCCAAGTGGAGAAATAAACCAAGTAGTATTAGCATTAACTGTGATCTTGTCACTAATAGAAATCACGGATATTTTCCCATTATATGAAAGTTGTTGCAAGTATCTTGAAATATTATTTATGCTCATCTACTGCCTCAAAATTATGGCGATTAGGCCTGCCTTTGGATCTTATTATTCAATACATTAATGTAAAACACATATATTACTATATCACACTTATAAAATATTTTGAAAATTGTGTTTTGATATAATTGGTTTCCTTTAATTTGTAGGTATGTTTCTTTTTTTTCCAACAATTTTTTTTTTTAGATTTTATTTGTTTATTTGACACAGAGAGATCACAAGTAGGCAGAGAGGCAGGCAGAGAGAGAGGAGGAAGCAGACTCCTTGCAGAGCAGAGAGCCCAATGTGGGGCTCCATCGTAGGACCCTGGAATTATGACCTGAGCGGAAGGCAGAGGCTTTAACCCACTGAGCCACCCAGGCGCCCCGTAGGTATGTTTCTTAATGCATTTAAAATATTCTGAGAAGGGGTCCATATGCTTCACCAGAATGCCAAGTGTCCATGGAAAACCTTAAGAACTCTGCCTTACCAGTATTTTCTTGGCTTGCTTTCTTCTTGAATGAGGCTAAAGAGGGTTCCTGGGGGGAACTTCAAGGACTGTGAGGCTCTCATGGTTTTATTAGTCTATTTTTTCCAGGTATCCTCCCTCCCTTAATTTTCATGCCTCTTCAATATGTATTGCTTTTCTTACACTACTTACCATGTTTCTATTTCTTTCATTGACTCTGACTGTGGTTGTGTTTGTACACTTCTATGGGGAGTTTATTCTTTAGCATGTCATAGACCACCATATTGCATAGAGAAGTGGAAATCTCCTCTAGTCCAGATTGCCCACTCTTTCCCCAATTCCATAACCTCGGCTGCCTCTGGGACACATCCACTTGCTTTTATCCCTGATATCTGCAAGGAACAAATTAAAAATTGAGATTCCTCCCCACATCTGCATTTTGTCCCAATTTGCCTGGATGATCTTCTTGTCTGTTTCCCTGGTTTTGTGGCCTTGTAATGATTTAAAAGTATAAATCAATTAATTTAAAAAAAACTGGAATCTTTGAGAATGGTACAAAATTCAAAAGATACAAAAGGATGTGCAGGGGAACGCAAGTATTCCTCCCCTCTGTTCTCCTAGGCACTCAGTTCCCCTCCCAGGAGGAAACCACTGTTACTAGCTCTTAGAGTAATTTTTGATTCTTTCTTATTTTTGGCTTTATCTCAAGTCCTTCCCTGTCGGTAAGATGAGTGCTCTTTCCTCTCCAGGCCCTCATGATCATGTATGTTTGACTTTATATATAAGTATGGGTATGTGTATATTTTATGTACATACATAAAATCTCCCCCAGTGGCCTTCCGGCCTAGAGTTTTCATCACGTCGCTTCCTGGATGAGGAACCTACAGGGGTGAGGGGCCGGGGTTGGGGGTGATGGAGAAGAGGATCTACAGGGCACTTAGGTAGGGGGCCTTTGAGTGGTAGATTGGTGGGAAGCTCTGACGGGGTTCCTCTTTCTATTCCTTCCGCCTGGGGCCCCCTTCCCTTCGTCTTGTCCAAATGCCTCTCGTTTCCAAGAGCCAGAGACAGAGACAGCGAGATACACAGAGACTGAGACGCCGAGGCACCAGCATCCTTCTGCCCCCCCCTCTGTCCCGCCCCAGAGCTCTGACGGACGTCCTCTGTTAACCAATGGCACTCAGGATATGCCCCGGAAGGACCAATGGGAGACAGAGGAGGGCGGAAGGTTCCCCGCCCCCACTTCTAGGCTTGGTTGAGCCGTGCAGGTAGGTCCGGGTCCGGGGGAGCCGCCGTTGGCACTGGTGCCCGGGGGGGGTGGGGGCAAGAGTCGGTAGGGATGATGGTGGGGAAGGGGAGGCGGCCCCGACTGCGGGAGCCTGAGGGGGTGGCCCGGCGGGTAGGCTGGGGGCCGAAGGGCCCGGGGAGCGGGCGCCGCCGAGGGCCCTGGAAGCGGCTGGGCTGGGGGAGCGGGGACGCGTGTGTGGGGCACCGGGACCCCCGCCCGGCGCCCACCAGAAGGCCTGGGCCCAGGGCTGCGGGCCGAGGGGCCGGGGGGCCTGGCTGCCCGGGGGCGGGCCGGGGCCGGGCCCGGGGCCGGGGGCGCCGAGCAGAGCCCGGGGCGCCAGGCCGAGCAGAGGTGGGACGGACCGACGCGGGGAGGAAGGGAAGCTGCATCCCGCGGGCCGCCCCTCCTGAAGCAAGCCGGGGCAACGGCCGCAGGCTCCCTGCCCTGAGCCCACTCCCCCACTCGCCCCCGTCCTAACAATGGGGATGGGGCAGAGGGAGTCGCCCCACAGCAGGAAGGAGCGGGGGGTAGGTTTGGGACTAGGGTCCAAGGCGGGGGGAGGGGTGGGAACTCGGGCTCTCCCCTTTCTCTTTTCTCCTTGGCTTTTGCGGTGGGCATCATGGAGGGGATATTAAACCTCCTGAGACTTAGGTCAAGAGTCAAACTCCTCCCCCCTTGAACCCCCAATCCCCCCAAAAATCCGATGAGCGGTAAGGAAAGTGATGCCAAGTCTTCGAAGCAGAAGTGACAAGCGCATAGCAAGAACAAATCCACTCCAGAGGTTTTTATTTTTTAATTTTTCTTAAAAACGAGGGCATTGTAGTCTTTGGTTTTTCAAATTTTATTTTACGGGGCGGGGGGGGTGGTGCTGTTATTTTTGTCTCTACTCGGGCAAGCCTCCATTTTAAGCGAAGCAGTAACTGGTTAAGCTGGAATTTTCATTCTGGCCTAGGACTTGAACAAGGATCCTACAGGAGGTCATTTAATCGATCCTCCTTCCTCCACGCAAACATACCTCCCTCCCAAACTCAAAATTAAGTTGTTTGGTCTGCTTTTAAATATCTTTGGGAAAGGTCGGTCTTTTATTTGCTTGTAGGGTATCAAACAAGAATAGATTCTCTTTTTCATGTAGAATGGATTCTGAAACTTAAATTTAATAAAATTTAGGACAATCAGAATGATCAGAGAGTTTTTTATTAAGTAAAATTAAATGTGGCAAGGGTCTTTTTAGATGGTCAATTAACAGATCAGTTTCAATAGTATTTTTGAAGTACCCTGAACAGTCATTTATTTTTTTTGTTTGGGATTTTGGTTTTCTGATGATTTGATAAGCAATTTTATATTATCTAAAACATGTGTTAGACATTTAATCCACATTTTATGTAAAGTATGTTTCTACATATATATGGAGATATGCATAGACACATTTGCCCTTTTCTAAGGGGACTGTGATCTGTACCTCTTTTTAGGATGGTGATGCAAATAGTACTTTGAATTTCTGTCCCAGTAGCTTAAACTATTTGGTTATCCTTGATTAGCTTTTAGTCTAATTGAAAGTCTTCTCTTTCAGATACCTTCTTGGGACCAGAAATTTTCCTACCTGCTCATACTTGGTGACTGAGGGATTACTAAGATTCCCTTATTGCTCATTTCTGAGTATTGTCTGAACTCTTCTGACACTATGAATGCTACTTGGATGCCTCTCAAGGTAGGATGTATTATTTTTAAAATTCAAGTTCTCATTTTATTTATTTATTTTTTCCTTTGGAATTGAGAATATTTGAGTCCTTGAATTTGCAGTTCTTCAACCCTCTTACCTGACACTCCTTTCCCCTCCAAAAGTACTATTCTGTTTGCTTCCAGGACTGATTGGTTACTCCTTACTTTGTATTGCTCCTGTTCTTGATTATTGGTGTTAACGTATTAGTGAAGTTCTTCAATTAACTTCCATTACAATGATGTGTTTACTTTTTAACTTTAAATGATGAGAACCCACATAGTTATAAAATTCTGTTTCAGTCTCAGTAGGATGGATTGGCAATCAGACATCCAGGTCCACTTTTTAAGCAGGTGCTTAAAGTCATAGGTACTAGGGTGTGCCCCACTCTTGCAAATCTGTAGCTGATTCATGTGTTACAAAAGATGTGTCATTAACCATTTGTTTACTTGAGACTTCCTATAGTAGATCAGAACATTCTAAAACCTGTTGGTTTCTGGGTACAACTCTGTCGGGAGAGTCCTCCTGCTGCCCCCTAGTCCTTTGCACTTGAATTTACACTGTTTTTCTCAACAGGTAGCATTTTGTGCCGCGTTTCATCTCACAGGATAAACTTTTTGGGCAGTGTGGACAGCTGATCTTTAGATGAAAAAGCTTCATTGATATGATGGTTCTCGTGTCTGTTGTTTCCTTCCAGTTTCTTGTACAGATGTGGCCAGAGGACTTTCCGTTAGGACTAAACAGATGGTAAAGCTTTACTGGGAGGGCACAGGTTGCCTTCCTTTGGAGCTAGAGACTAGTGTAGTTAAGACTGTTGTGAGGTAGTCTGTCCAGTGGAATTCCAAGTTAGCGCAATGAATAAATCCGAGAATAAACGCAGTCTGGGTAACTTAAATATAGGACTGTGGGAAATCTTCAGGTAAATGTAGACTGAATTCTCATCTTCATTTATGTTTCAGCTGCTGTTGTTGGATAAGGAGTGCTTATATCAGTATAAAGGAATCCAAAGTGACACAGTTTCTAGCCATTCTCCTTGTAGAGTTGGAGGGGTTGCATGGGGAATCCAGCCAGAAGTCCTGAACCCATAAGAATTGAAGGACCTTGTTTAAAAGTATCTGTCTTTGGTACCAGGTGTTTTTTTATTTTTTATTTTTCATTTTCATTTATTTATTTATTTATTTATTTTTAAAAGATTTTATTTATTTATTTGACAGAAAGATAGAGAGCACAAGTAGGCATAGCAGCAGGCAGAGGGAGAGGGAGAAGCAGGCTCTCTGCTGAGCAGGGAGCCCAATGTGGGACTCGATCACAGGACCCTGGGATTATGACCTGAGCTGAAGGCAGGCGCTTAACTGACTGAGCCACCCAGGCGCCCTGGTACCAGGTGCTTAATCCCAGGATCCGGTGGCCCCTCTTATCTTTAAGAAGTAGGCAAGGGGGTACGAATGGGTACGAGTTCTCTAGAAACCTGAGGAAATTGAGACCAATATATCAGATACTATTTTTTAGTCACCTTAGTTTTAACAAATGTATTAGGTACAAAGAGCCGTGCTATTTAACATGTATCTGATGTTTAAGATTTTAACTCTAGATCTCTGAATCTGGGATGTTACGATAGGGTTCCACAGTAACCCTGAAGTTGTATGAAAGGCCTCTGGCTTGGCAGGAAAGCAGAATGGAAGTCAGTGTTCCATACGATGCGTTACCTACTTAAGAATTTAGTTATGTGGCTGCCTTAATTTTGTGTTCCCTACCAATCCTTTGATCAGTGGGAGACCTCTTCTGAGTCTAAACAAATTTTTTATTTGCTGACATTTTCCTATTCCTTTTATTACCTTAAAAAAAACCAAAACAATAACCTTGAAACTTGTGTTGGAGACCTTTTGGGAGGAAAAGGGCACCTTTTGGGAGGAAGAGGATAGCATTGAATAAAAAGGATGGAAAATTAAAAGGGAGAGAGAACTTTATTCTCTTTTTTATTGTGAATATCCTTAAAATGTTTCTTAGATGTATTTTCAGATTACAGGTGCTTATTTTTAAATTTAAAAAAAGGTTAATTAAAATGTATATTTTGGAGCCAAAGTGCTCATTTTTTATAGCTCTTATTGTTTGTTTCTCATTTTCTTGTTCAGAATGAACTCTAGTTCTGTCAGGCTTTACTTACATGTTAGACCGGAGTATGTGCTTGTTTCTGTGTGTAAAGAAAATAGCGCCAGCATGCGCCCTTTTCGCAAACCAAAGTACCAAAGCAAAGATAATTAACTCCAAACAAATACTCCAAACAAAATAACTCCAAACAAATACTCCTCAATTTAAGACACTCTTATCAATTACGAATTCCCTTGGAGATTACTTACCCATCTTCTGTATGTCAGGGATCTACAGCTTTGTCATTGCTAGCCATGACTAAGCACTGTGGATAACGTTTGATGTCCCTAGGTTCAGTTGTCAGGGTTGAGGCATGGGTGAGATGGAAGAGGAACAGGGAGGAGGAGGAGAAATGGACATCCTGGAGACAAAAGTGAAGAGAAGTTGAGGTAGCAGAGAAGGGATACATGGGCTTTGGGACGTGCTATGGCACCACTGTCGCTTCTCTCAGGTAGCTTTACAAATTGCTGGTTGCCTTGTGTGTTGGACTGAACTATGATGGAAGGAGAGTAAAAAAGTATTCTTGACAAAAGGACAGAATTACAATATAATTCAATGTGATATGGAAAGTTCTCCAAGATACGTAGTTAGGTGATAAAATAAAAGGAAGATATAGAATAGTGTATGTGGTATGTTACCCTTTATGTTTTGGGGGGGTGGCGGAAAGGAATAAAGAAAATTCGTATTGGCTTGGTGAATATGCATTTTAAAAAACACTTGAGAAGAATAAACAAAATGATACATTATATGTTTATAAAAATTTTTTAAAAATTAAAAAATATATGTATTAAAACCAATGCATGATTGCCTTGAAAATGGAAATGTAAGTAGAAACAACCCTCATGTGCTCCACTTTCTCCCTTGCAATAAATATGTGACATCAGTTAATTTGATATAAACACATATATGGTAAAAAAAAATAAAATGGTGACATTGGTCACCTGTTAAGTCTAGGAACTAGATGGGTCGAGGATAGGGTGGGAAGGAGTCTTCTCTCTGTACTATATTATTTTATACTGTGTGACATTTGTATCAGAATTTAAAAATTTAACACAAAATTTTAAAAAACCCTTAAAAAACAGTATTTCGGTCCTTAACATCTCTTCTCCAGTGTCTGGAAGTCCGAGAAATAGCCAGGGCTGCCACTGAAGAGAGCAGAGAGCTCTTGAACAGTGGCTGAAGGGATACTGTCACCTAGGATACACGTTCTCCTGAGATCTTAAAGAATTTTGAACTTATAGATGTGGATTTCTAGGATTGAATTAGGAGGTCAGGCATTTAAAATTTTTACTTGCTCTTTAAGTTTTAGTAAAAAGATTTTCATTGTTTACTCTCTCATGTTGGCAGTTAGATACACTCATGTTCTTCATTGTGTGATCTTGGGCAATTTCTTAATCTCTCTGAGATTCAGAGTTCTCCTTTGTATTGGAAAGAATACTAACATTTACTTCACAGGATTGTTGCGTATATTATAGCTGTAAGGGACATCGTTTCTGGCTTAGTGAACTACTATAGTTATTACAGTCATTGCCATTAATAATAGTTCCTTATAGCCTGGTGGTTAAGAGTGAGGGCTCTGGCTGACCTTGGGCAAATTCCTTGACCTCTTAGAACTTTGGTGTCCTCATATATAAAAAGGGCATGATTCTAGTATCTAGATCCCTGGGTGGACTTCGGAAGAACTAAATGAGTTTGTTGCTGCAAAATGCTTCGACTGACACTTCATATGTGCTCAGTAAACACGGGTTGCTAATTCTCTTTGTGACATCTGTTTGCCAGGGCTTCCATAACAAAGTGCCACAGAGTGAGTGGCTTACACAACAGAAATGGTTGTGTCACAGTCCTGGAGGCTAGAAGTCTGAGGGCAGGGACATGCTTCCTCTGAAGGTGCTAGTAGGGCAGGAACTGCTTAGTCCTCTCTTCCAGCTTCTGGTAGTTCCTGTGGCCCATGGCCACATGACTTCAGTCTTTAATATAGAGTTCACCCTGTGTGCATGTCTTTGTGTTTAAAATTTCTCCTTTTTAAAAAGGACAACAGCCATACTGGATTAGGACCCACCCCAGTGACCTCATTTTAACTTGATTACTTCTGTAAAGACCGTTTTTTGCTCTACTGGGCATTAGGAGTCCAAATCTTTTGGGGGATACAGTTCAACCCATAACAACATCCAGTAGCCTTGTTGCTCAACATGGGGACCCTCAACACCTGTATGTAGGAAATGAAAATTTTGGTGCAAATTAGTAACATGATTTAAAGAAGTAGATTAGTTCTTTAGGCTTCTAATGGGTTTATCTTTTTTTTTTTAAGGTTTTATTTATTTATTTACTTGACACAGGGTGAGAGAGAGTGAGAGAGAGTGAGTGCGTACGCACAAGCAGGGGGAGCAGCAAGCAGAGGCAGGGGGAGAAGCAACCAAGCAGGGAACCCGATGCGGGGCTCAATCCCAGGACCCTGGGATCATGACCTGAGCCGAAGGCGGATGCTTCACTGACTGAGCTGCCCAGGGACCCCTGGATTTATCTTTATTATGGATAGATTTTTGTTGCCATTGAAATTTTAGATTTATATAAAATCAAAACTTTACAAGGTTAAATTCTTTTTTTTTTTTTTTTTAAGGTATTTGTAAAATTCCAAATTGAAAAATTAAGGTCAGGACTATAGTCTTGTTCTCTATGTCTCATCCTTTGTGGAAATTGGTAGAACTTCGGGATTTCTTTAATCTGTAAGAATAATGCTCAAGGTGTCTGTTTCTAGGGGTTTGGGAGCTAAGGCTACCCAATGAGGAATTAACACCCCCCTTCCCTGTGTGTTTTCTATGCAATCAGATGCCATATTTGAAGAA